CAGACTGCGGCCAGCTGCCTACCGCACTTCACCTGCTGCACCTCCGTGATGACCTTCTCCCAACACCATGGGTAGCGAGCACAACCAGGCTTGAGGGGAGGAAACGCCTTCGGCTGCTTCAGGACTCGCCTCCTCAGTGCTAGCTTGGCATGAGGCAGTTGTAGCTGGACTGGTTGGTGCGGCCAAATACTCGCATCCACCAGCACGTCCAGGGAGAACGCCTTCGCATCCGTGAGGGACCGATGGAGGATGAAGTAGTCCAGTACACGTCCAGGAAGGGTTTGCACACAGGTGGGACTGGACGGAGCACAACACAATCCCTTCACCAAGTGCAGCCAGTTGTGCTCTAGCAACTCATCGGGCGTCATGTTATAGTCACCAGCGATGAGCCACGGGTACCCTGCGTCAGGCACCCTCTTAACGTATTTACAGACCTCCCAGACGATGGCGAGGTTGCGTGGCGTGCGGCCCTCGCCAGTGTACAGACACAATGAGACGCAAACCAGTCCGCCAGAAGGTCCTGCGCGCACCACACCAGCAACAGCACGCCCTGGCACAACTTCCCCTGCCTTGAGGAAAAGTGCTGGTGTTACCTGGGTGTACGTGCGTGCAAGAACTGCCACTCCCCCCTCCGAGCCTCCATCAAGGGTATGGGGCAGCCGCCAACCATTGTCCCCGCCAGCCCATATCCAGAGCATCCGCCTGTACCTCTGGGAGATTGGTGTCGGTCGCATGTGTCTCCTGGTCGAGCACGATGTCCACGTCCGCCGTGTTTAGATACCGCATCAGCGTCCCGTACGAGTTCGCATTGACAATGACAATCTGAAGCCCAGGCCGTGTCGTGTGGTCCGCCACTGTGCACGGTGTGTCCTCAGGCAGGGCAGGCCGTCGACGCCGTGGCGGACTCCTCCCTGGAGCCTGGCTATGCTTCTCACCATCGTGCAGCTCGACGATACAAGCATCGCGGCTCCTCTCAAGGCCGCCAGCAACGTCTCCCTGTGCGAGGGCATCGGCCACCCCACCACGGTGGGCCTCGCTCGGGCTTGCAGGGGGGGGCGACGGGGCGAGCGTCGCAGCACTTCACCAGGCTCCCAGCAGCAGCTTCGTGCACGAGGGCCTCGGCCGCCCCACCGCGGTGGGCCTCGCTCGGACTTACAGGGAGGGCGACGGGGCGAGCGTCGCAGCACCTCACCAGGCCGCCAGCAGCAACTTCGTGTGCGAGGGCATCGACCACCCCACCGCGGTGGGCCTCGCCCGGGCTTATGGGGAGGGCGACGGGGCGAGCGTCGCAGCACCTCGCCCTGCCGCCGTGGGGAGCTTCCTGTGCGAGGGCATCGGCCGCCCCACCGCTGCAGGCCTCGCTCGGGCTTACAGGGAGGGCGATGGGGCGAGCATCGCGGCACGTCACCAAGCCGCCAGCAGCAACACCATATGCGAGGGCATCGGCCACCCCACCGCCGTGGGCCTCGCTCGGGCTTACAGGGAGGGCGATGGGGCGAGCATCGCAGCACCTCACCTGGCCGCCAGCAGCAACACCATGTGCGAGGGCATCGGCCACCCCACCACTGTGGGCCCCGCATACAGCAGGCCCTTCCCCCTGGGCAAACGGGGCGCGCGCGCTGGCACCGGAGCGGACGCGCTCGAACTGGCCCTCCGAACCAAGCTCCACAGCCTGGTTCTTGTCGAGATTCTGGCTTCCTGGACTCATCATCATTGCGACTGTCTCAGGCATCCATGGTGCCAGCTGCCGCCTTCCTTCGGCGCTTGGCTTCCTGCCAAGACGGGGGGCTTGAGGCAACGCTTGACAGCATCGCGCAGCTCAGCATCGTCATCTGTGCCGCCCGCAAGCTTCTCCAGCCCACAGGCCTCGAGGAAAGCCTTGAGCTCCTCCGTAGTGGCACTGTCGAGCTCCTCGTCGTCCATGGGCGAGTCCTCAGGAGCTGGATGGCCACCTGTTGCAGGACCAGCGCCCGAAGCCGCACCAGCCTCAGGTACGCCCTCAGCGGCCGCAGCAGCCGCTTGGCCGCCTGCCAGGGCAGCGGCGCGCGCAGCCTCCTCCTGCCTCTGCTGCTTTGCGCGCTGCGCCGCCAGCTCCGCCTCACGAAGCTCGGCCACAACGCCCTCCACCTTCGATGAGAGCGAGTGCGCCAGGCCCATGCGCTCCAGCACCAGGCACATCTTAGAGAGCGCGTAGCGATCACCAGCACCATCATCAGGAGGCTCCGGATGCGGATCAGGAAGCACGCTGCACAACTGGGCACGCTCAGCGTGCATAGCCACCAGTTGAGCACGCAACTTGGCCATGGCGTCCTCGCCCTCGGCGATCTCATCCTCGAGCTTCTTGAGCTTGGCCTTTTTCTCGTCCAGATTTGATTGCCAGCGCAGCTGCTGCTTGTCCAACCGAATGATATTGTTGGACAGCTCCTGCACCTTGACGGGGACAGGCTTCTCCTCGAACACCTGTGCGCGGAGGGACTCCTTCTCCTTGCGATAGCCTTCGACCACTGCCTCGATCTCAGGGGGCAGAGGCTTCGTGAGGCTGAGATGCGCGATGAGGCTGTCCAACTCTGCAATGCGAGCCTTGCTGCATGCAACCAGGTCAGGCTCTGTGCGATCCGTACCCGCGTCGTCAGCGATTGGCTGCGCCTGCTTTTTCTTGAGTTCCTTCTCCAGCTGCGCGACCTTGTTGGACATGGCCAGAAGCTGCTTCTCCAGAGGCTTCCCGCCTGCGCTGCCAGGCGGCCTGGTCCCTGACCGAGTAGAAGGAACATTCGACTTGGGCGCTGGCTTGCCTTTGAATGCCACAGCCTTGGGCATAGCACACGAGTGACAGGCCAGCTTGTCTGGGTAGTTGACGAATGGCTTCCCATCTCGTCCCTTGCACCACTTGCAACACCACTTGGTGCGCTGCTCATCTCTGCGACCGACTGGTGCCATTGCTGCTCCCAAACTGTGCGGAGTGTGTGGGGGCCACACGATACAGTTCCCCAAAGAGCAACTTTGGCCAGGGCGGCCCAGAGAACAGTCGTTTTCCGAGAATTTGGCCCAAAGCGCGACCCCTCGCGCTCAGAACGCCCTCTCGGACTCGCGGTCGTCGGGTGACGCATTGCCTTGAGCCAAAATGGCTACGGATGTGTGTGTGTGTGCGTGTGTGCGTGTGTGCGTGTGTGCGTGTGTGCGTGTGTGCGTGTGTGCGTGTGTGCGTGTGTGCGTGTGTGCGCGTGTGCGCGTGTGCGCGTGTGCGCGTGTGCGCGTGTGCGCGTGTGCGCGCGTGTGCGCGTGTGCGCGTGTGTGTGCGTGTGCGTGTGCGTGTGCGTGTGCGTGTGCGTGTGCGTGTGCGTGTGCGTGTGCGTGTGCGTGTGGGTGTGGGTGTGTGTGTGTGTGGTGTGTGTGTGTTGTGTGTGTTGTGTGTGTGGTGCGTGTGTTGTGTGTTGTGTATGTTGTGTATGTTGTGTGTGTGTGTGTGTGTGTGCGTGCGTGCGTGCGTGCGTGCGTGCGTGCGTGCGTGCGTGCGTGCGTGCGTGCGTGCGTGCGTGCGTGCGTGCGTGCGTGCGTGCGTGCGTGCGTGCGTGTGTGCGTGCGTGCGTGCGTGCGTGCGTGCGTGCGTGCGTGCGTGCGTGCGTGCGTGCGTGCGTGTGTGGGTGCGTGTGTGTGTGTGTGTGTGTGTGTGTGTGTGTGTGTGTGTGTGTGTTGTGGTGTGTTGTGTGTGTGTGGGGGGGGGGGCGTGAGTGTGTGTGAGTGTGTGCGGTGCGTGTGTGAATGTGTTGTGTGTGAGTGTGTGTGTGTGCGTGCGCGCGTGTGTGTGCGTGTGTGCGTGCGTGCGTGCGTGAGTGTGCGTGCGTGCGTGCGCGCATGTGTGCGTGACGTGGCGTGGCGTGGCGTGGCGTGGCGTGGCGTGGCGTGCGTGTGAGTGTGTGTGTGCGTGTGTGGACGTGCGTGCGTGCGTGCGTGCGCGTGTGTGTGTGTGTGTTTGTGCGTGCGTGCGTGCGTGCGTGCGTGCCTGCGTGGATGGGTGGCGTGGCGTCGCTATGGCGCTATGGCGCTATGGGGCTAAGGCGAAAACGTTGTCCCCAGGTGCCAGCCTGGCCTCCTCACCACGGTCACCTGGGGAAGCTCATTCCCAATGTTGGCGGGAGCCCGCGCCCGAGACGACTCGAAGCCTCGAGCCCCGTTTCGGGTGTGCTGCTGACGCGGCTCGCGGAGCCGTCGGATGCTGCCCGCAGCAAAACGCTCGCAGCTGGAGCAAAAGAGCACGCCACTGAGCATCGACATTCCAGGAGGCACAGGGCCAGAAGGTGGTCCAACGGATCACTTTCATCGGTCCCCGGCCCCACGGCAGCCACCCGACCCCCCTCGGGAGGAGGCGAAAAACGCAAAAACAAAAACAAAAATGCTGGCCACACAAGGGCCAGGCCGCCAGGCAGACAGCACGCCCTGCTTGGATAATAACGTGCAGAAAATATACGATACGCCTCATCCAGATGTGCAGCTGCACCAGCGCATGCCCAGCAGCGACCACACGCTCCAAGCGTATTTTGGGAACTGTTGCGCAAGCCCCTCGCTCGCACGCGCTCGTGCCAGACCCGCTCTCGCACTCTTTCCACTGGAGCAGGTGACAAAAACGTCACGCTGAATATAGACAAGCGAGCCGCTTCAAGACGTCGGCGCCCACCGAGGTATGTGACAGTGGCTAGTCCGGTGGGGACGGCAGCAAGTCGGGCTGCCTTCCCCGCACAGGCATCGGCAGCTCCATCCAGGAGCTGCTCGATGGTGGTGGGCGGGGGCGGGGGCGGGCCGATCGAGGATGAGGAGGATCGAGGGACGGGGGGAGAAAGATCGAGGATCGAGGAGGATCCAGAAGGAGGAGGAGGGGAAGGAGGAGGATGAGGATGAGGAGGAGGAGGATCGAGAAGGAGGGTCGAGGAGGAGGAGGAGGAGGAGGACGAGGAGGAGGACGTCTGGGGAAGAGGACGTCTGGGGGGCGTGCCGGGGGAGGGGGCCCTCCTGGATGTCCGCGTAGAGCGCGTCCGCGAGCGGGGCGCCCGGCAGCAGGAGCCTGCCAGCCAGGGGCACCGGCAGGCCGCAGCGCAGACCGCGGGCGGGAGGTGAGCTGCGCCGATGAGGCCCAACGCCGCTGACGGAGGAGGAGGAGGAGGAGGAGGAGGAGGAGAAGGAGGAGGAGGAGGAGGAGGAAGAAGAAGGGGGTTCTCCTGGAGAGGGGGTCGGAGGGGGTCTGTCTGTGTATTGGACAAGCGCGCTCCACTGCTCACAAAAAGCTGCTCGCAGTTGGCCTGGATCCGCCGCGGGGGGCTTCACGACAAACTGCAAAAAGGGGAAGACATGTTTTTGTCTCGGACGTTTGCGAGAGGAACGCGCTCGCTGATTTATGCTCGCAGCGTTATTGCGGATCTTCTGGGCTCGGGAGTCTCTGGAGGCCTCCGGATGCCGCCAGAGGGTCTCGGGGGGGTCTCCCGTGGACCTGCAGGGACTCCAATGGGGGGAGGGGTGTGGGGTCCAACGCTGCTGCACCCGTCTTTTGCGCTCTGCGTCTGTGATTGTTGGTCGGCGTGCGCTGTCGCCTGCCCACGCGCCCTGGCGTATGGCCCTTCTGTTCTGTTATGTTCCCAGCCCACGCCGAAGAGCCCAACGGGAGTTCAGTGGCAGCCCACGTCGCCTGCAGTGCCGCGGGGAGGCGGCGGAGTGCGCTGCTGGGGCCAGCCGCGAAGTGGTGGGGCCAGGTGGAGACTCGGAGGCGGCCGGCGGCTCAGTCGTACCTCCCCCCTCCCCCCTTCCACCACCTTCCTCTTCACCCTCCCTCGGAGGCGTACCTCCCGCTGTCTGACGCCTGCCAGGACACGTTCGAGTTCGAGGGGCAACTTGTCGCGACCGTCCGTCCAGTGCAGGCTGGTAACGTCCCATGCGGGGAGGCTCCAGGTGCGGGGGGCGTCAAACCAAATCCGTCTCCTCCTCACCCAGTCCTCCCCCTCGGATGCGTCTGCTCTGCAGCAAGACTGTTGCAGAGCCAGCTCCGCAAATGTCATCGCGTCCGAGATCGCCAGGAAACGGCACCGATGTCTCACTGAGGAGGCGGGTGCTCGTGGTCCCGAGAACTGTCGCCGAGAGGCCTGACGAGCTCAGGAGCGGGCAGGGTCACGTCTCTAAGCCGTGTGATGCTACTTGAAAGCGCGAGAACGCAGTCCCCTTTTCGAGCGATGTGTCACACCTCTGAGTGCACACATGTGTTGCAACCGCAACGTGTTGGCTCTTCAGTGGTGGCTAGCGTTCTCTCTGAGGCTGATCTCACAGCTGCACAATCCTGAACGATGTTGCTAAGTATATGGCACGCCACAACTAACATTCGTCACATATTCTCTACATGTTCGCAACGCGCGAGGTGAAGCGACTGGGAGCGCCCGCACAAGTTCGCATTGTAGTTGAGCTTCTGGATAGCGTCCCGGGGGTCCTGACCGCGCGAAAGCTTTCGAATTGCCACCGGAACTGCACGGGCGAGGGGAACGAGGAATGTGGAAGGAGTAGACAACGCAGGAGGATTATGCAGAAATGGGGGAGGTGCATACAAGGATAATACTCCCCCCCTTTCCCGCCATGATCCTGTAATAGACGCAGGAGAATTATGCAGAAATGAGGAAGGTGTGGACGAGGATGATGCTCCCCCCCTTCCCGTTATGATCCTGCTCCTGCTCCTGCCCGTGTTTCTTTCTCCTCCTGTTCAGGCTCCTGCTTTAGTTTGTTATGTTCAGGATCCTGCTCCTGTTCCTCCTGTTTATCATAATGCTCCCTCTCCTCCTACTGCTACTGCCCCTCATCGTCCTGTCCCTGCCCCTACTGCCATTATCGTGCACCTGCTCATGCCCTCTTCCTCCCACCTCATCCTCCGGCACACCAACCACTCCTCCTCGTCCTGCTGCCGCTGCTGCTCCTCCTCACCCTAGTCCCCCTCCGAAGCATCATATGCTAAAACTTGACCATATCAGGCAGCATCTACCCAAAACGTCCGCAAGCCATTTGAACATCTCCCCCAGCTTCTCCGAATTCGTATGCTGCTTACCGCAGTGCCCTTTGGTCTGCAGCAGGGTCCACTAGCGATCCTTGGCTTGGTTCACTCCGAGGCATCGCTGCAGTTCGTCGAGCATCTTGTCGATGCGCTTGGTTGCGACCAAATTGGGGCCTCCACCCGAGAGAAAAGGAGAGAGGGGGGTGGGAGGCGGAAGGAGGGAAAGAGGGGGGCAGGAAGGAGCCGGGCGCGGGGATGGGCATTGGGACGGGGAGGCGGAGGAGGGGGTGTGGGAAAAGCGAAAGCCAAGGCCGCGCTAATGGCGATGTTGGTGAACGGCGATGTTGGGAATCTAGTTTTTGTGACACCGAGCTCGCGCAGAACAAATTGTAGGAAATCACGAACCACACTTTCCTACATTCTAATTGTGCGAACGTATCGAGCGAAAACGACGCATGGAATCGCAGGAAAGCACGAGTCACCAT